TGTGTGATAGATCATGTCCCCCTTTGTCTCTGTTCATTGTATCTTTTGTTACAATTTGTAACATTGCAAGTCACCTTGAGGAAACAAACAGATTGTTCTCGAAATGTAGTATGTGAGTAAATAATTTTTCCACCTTTTGGAACAGAAGTTTATTTAGTGTATTTCAAGCTCCTAGCAAAATAAATGTCATTGTTCACTTACATGTATATTGATGACAATAAAGTATTATTAATTCTTGATTAATGTTGCCTTCTCTATTCCCATCAGGTATGCTGTTGATCTTGTTGTATGCTGTGCCCTAGGGGTGGACATGTACGATTGTGTATTTCCAACAAGAACTGCTGTGAGTACATAAAATATATATTGCATAATGTGCAATAAAGAAATACATGGATTGAATAGTATTAAATTCAGATATTTTGAGATGCAGTATACAGTGATTTGACAAAAAATATCGCCATTTGAATTCTCAAAGCATGATTTTTATGTATTAGAAAATGTAGATTTTAGGTATATACCACCAGCAATAAAATACAGGTTGGATTTGTAGGCATAATATGAAGCAATATGATTTGATTATAATGCGAATATTCAGATGGTTAATGTGTTCACCTTTTAATATCAGAGTTTTGAAGTACTGTACCTGTGCTCTTGGTCACTCACTTCAACAACTGCAGCTAAAAAAACACCAACAAACAATCATTTAGAAAAGAGATTAATTGTCAAAAACTCCTAAAAAACTTTTTGGGGGAAATCCCTGTGGCTCCTACAATAGGTAAATGAACATTCCAAATTTTTCCTTTTGACCCTCCTAAATTACCACTCGTGCCCCTGATAAAAAATCATTAATCTGCACAAATTTTTTCATGACTGAAAAGAACTACTGTCCCATATAAGGAACCTTATCAAAATTGTTTATTCTCTTCAGTGACTACTTTAAAAAAAATTTTCTGCAGAGATTTGGATCAGCCTTAGTTGAGACAGGAAGTCTGAACCTTCGAAGCAAGGAATTTGCCAATGACATGAATCCAATTGACAAGGCGTGCTCTTGCTCAACCTGTAAACTTCACACCCGAGCGTACCTGCATGCTATAAACAAGGAAACGGTAGCTTGTCATCTGGTCACGGTTCACAATATCGCATACCAGGTAGTTTTTTTTGTTTCTTTATTTACATAAATTTGATTCTTTTCTAACAGCTAGCCAATTCATTCATTTATTCAAACATTCAAAAACAATACTGTAAATGCAATTAAAAATATAAAATTTGCACAAGAAGAAATTTATCATAAATTAATTATCATTCATTCAATTACTAAATGTAGATAGATCATTTATTTTTTTTTTTGTTATTTTTCTTTTAATTCTTCGTTTTTAGATGCGTCTTATGAAGTCCATACAGCAGAGTATTATGAAGGACACTTTCCCATCATTCATTCAACAGTTTATGAGCAACATGTTCCCATCGAATAATTACCCGACATGGGTTGTGGAAGCACTAGACTCTGTCAATGTTAAATTATTATGACGATGATGCAAGCCATTTGAAATCATAATGAGCGTATACAGTATATATTATTGTACCACAGCCCTCTGGATTGTAAATTGTACACTACATATTAGTAAGATTCTAAAATTGATTAAATTAGTCTTTGAAACTCCTAAATTGTCATATTTCTTGGGGCTTTGCAACCTGGACAACTTTAGAAAGATTTTGAGTGACGCCTGACCACGCCCACTTTGCTTTCGTCGGGGACATGTGTCCACTTGGGTCCTCTGGCCTCCCCCCCCCCC